TGCAGAACACTAAGAGGCCTGGATAGAGTGGACGTGGAGAAGACTTTCCATTATTAGGAGAAACTAGGGCCACAGGGCACAGTCTCAGAGTGAAGGAACGATTCGATTTGATTTATTACTGTCATCTGCACTGAGATACAGTGAAAAGTGTTGTCTTGGGTGCTTTACAGGCAGATTGTACTACACAAGTGCATCTGGGTAACAGAGCAGAGAGCAGGATACAAAGTTATAGCTGCTAAGGAGGTACAAAGAGGGATCAACATTAACATTTAAGAGGTCCAATCAAAATTCTGATAACAGCGGTGAAGAAACTGTTCTTGAATCTGTTTGTATGTGTATTTAAACTTTTATTTCTTCTGACCCTTTAGAACCGAAATGGGGAGGAATTTCTTCAGCCTGAGGGTGGTTAGTCTGTGGAACTCAATGCTGCAGAGGGCTGTGGAGGTCAAGTCATTGAGTGTATTTAATACAGAAATAGTATGGGTTCTTGATCAGTAAGGGGATCAAGAGTTACAGCGAGAACACAGCAGAATAGGGGTGAGAAACTTATCAGTCGTGATCGAATGGTGGAGCAGACAGGGGAACTCAACTACCTATTGCCTTCCACTTGAACGCACCATCCTGCTCTCTGGCCAACATCTCTGTATCTGGCTTGCTGCAGTGTTCCAGAGAAGCCCAACGTAAGCTGGAGGAACAACATCTCATTTTCCGCTTGGGGGCCCAACAGCCCTCCGGACTCGATATTGAGTTCAATAATTTTAGGGCCTAAACTCTCCCATATCCCAGCCCCCTACCCCACACACCAGGCCTTGTTACCACATAGCCACCACACACCCACTGTTGTTAGTCACTAACAGTCCCCATTCATAACTATTCACCCTCCCAGCCTGATCGTTAGCAACTCCTTTGTCTGTCCAACAGTCTTTCTCTCTCTTTGGGCTCTATCCTATCGTTTACTCCCTACCCCACCCACTTATTTTCTGCATATAAACTGATGTTTTCCCAGCACCCATCAGTTCTGAGGAGGGGTCACCAGACCCGAAACGTTAACTCTGCTTTTCCCTTCACAGATGCTGCCAGACCTGCTGAGCTTCTCCAGCAACTTTGTTTTTGTTCCTGATTTACAGCATCCGCAGTTCTTTCGGTTTTTGTTCAGACTCAGGGGGACCATATGGCCTAATTCTGCTCCTATATCTTACGGTCTTATAGTCTAATCACTTGCAGTTGCTGTTTCACGCTGACAACTACTGAATCATGCTGCAATGCAACGGTCTGATAACCTGAAGTTTCTTTTGATCATTTGATCATTCAATCATGCAAAGGTACTTCAACACCATTTTGATTTTCATGATCTGTCAGAAAGGCATCGATATTCAAGGGTCAGAATCTGCTGAATTGTGGAAAGAACTAAAAGCGAAAGCTCATTCAACACACATCAGCATCCAGAGACCTCGATCTGTCCAATATAGAACAGAATTTGAATAATAGTCCAAGAGCCAAACAGATATCACAATTTAGTCTTCTGAGAAAATACCAAGAAATGTTTGTAAGATTTGGGCTACCAGTCATCCTCGGCACAGAATTTGCAGTGTCTCCTTAGACACAAAGACTTGCATGCTACTATCACTTCCTTACCCACAGTCCAAGGGCAAGGCTGAGAATGCCGTCAAGCTATTCATAAGCTCTTCACAAAATGCAAGACATCCAGTCAGAACACATATCTATGAGATTAAGGTGCAAAAACAAGCCCTGACTGCAGGAGGTGGTACATAACATCATTTCCAACAGTGGGAACATGTCCATTGAAGTCACTCAAAGCCACTCCAAGAAATACATCTTGATGACACAATGTGATGAAGCCCTGTGGCTAATGTATTTGGTTACCAAAACACGTACAAGTGCAGTGGGTCCTGGAAGCTAAAAGGTGCTCGTTGGAGATTGATCCTACTAGGTGCTGACTTGAAGTATGTATCTGAACTCTTACCCTCCCCAGTCATCTTTTGAATTAACTCGTTAATTGTCCAAAGGCAGGTCCAACTGAGAGCATCATAACCTTCACTAGAGGCAGGAGAAGGAGGCAGGCTGTGCAGCCACCCCAGACAGAACTACATTCGAAACTCTGCTATGGGCACCAATCTGATCCACACTGGCTGACCCCAACTGATCCAAGCAGTGGCAAAAATGTCAGAATTGCTGTGGCAACATATACTTTTTCTTATGGCCTGGAAGTATGGATAATGATAGTATAGGCTTCAATTTCTTTCCCACTCATGGCTAACCATGATTCTTGTCCAATCCTATCATTGGTGTATATTAGAGTTGCTACACAATCTGTGTGTCTACTGAAAATACCTTCCTTGGCATCAAGTCCTGTTGTGGAACTTGAAACTGGAGGTTCAGGTATGAGGCAGGTAAGCTGCACAGCACCCTATCATCTCCTCATAAGTAGCAACTTCGCGCATCCCCACAACCCCAAAGAGGTTAGACGTGATGACTTGCCCACTGCGAATCTGGAATGAGTCCTGAGACCTGCAAAGATGTTGAAGTGAAAATGCACTTTATCTCCAGCAACATTGTAATATTTATACTTTAAGTTGCTAAGATACAAGCTATAAAGCGTAGAATAGTATGTAAACAGGTAAATTTGCTGCGGCAATCAGTTCCACAGATTCACCACCTTTAGGCTGAAGAAATTTATTTATTTATTTATTGTCTCATGTATTTTGTTATAAAATACAGTGAAAAATGTTGTACAGTGTTGCCACTCTCCAGCACCATCAAAGGAGTACTTTTGTTGTGCAGGAAAGGTCATGTCTTACCAACTTGATAGAATTCTTTGAGGAAGTGACAAATTTGAAAGATGAGGTAAGGGCTGTAGATGTCATATACATGGACTTCAGTAAGGTGTTTGATAAGATTCCCCGTGGTAGGCTGACGGAGAAAGTAAAGTCGCATGGGGTCCAGGGTGTACTAGCTAGATGGATAGAGAACTGGCTGGGCAACAGGAGACAGAGAGTTGTAGTGGAAGGAAGTTTCTCAAAATGGAGAACTGTGGTGTTCCACAGGGATCTGTGTTAGGACCACTTGTTTGTGATATACATAAATGATCTGGAGGAAGGTACAGATGGTCTGATTAGCAAGTTTGCAGATGACACTAAGACTGGTGGAGTAGCAGATAGTGAAGGGGACTGTCAGAGAATGCAGCAGAATATAGATAGATTGGAGAGTTGGGTGGAGAAATGGCAGATGGAGTTCAATCCAGGCAAATGCGAGGTGATGCATTTTGGAAGATCCAATTCAAGAGCGAACTATATGGTAAATGGAAAAGCCCTGGGGAAAATTGATGCACAGAGAGAGCTGGATGTTCAGGTCCATTGTACCCTGAAGGTGGCAACGCAGGTCGATAGAGTGGTCAAGAAGGCATACGGCATGCTTTTGTTCATCGGACGGGATATTGAGTACAAGAGTTGGCAGGTCATGTTACAGTTGTATAGGACTTTGGTTCGACCACATTTGGAATACTGCGTACAGTTCTGGTGGCCACATTACCAAAAGGATGTGGATGCTTTGGACACGGTGCAGAGGAGGTTCACCAGGATGTTGCCTGGTATGGAGGGTGCTAGCTATAAAGAGAGGTTGAGTAGGTTAGGATTATTTACATTAGAAAGACAGAGGTTGAGGGGGGACCTGATTGAGGTCTACAAAATCATGAGAGATATAGACAGGGTGGATAGCAAGAAGCTTTTTCCCAGAGTGGGGGACTCAATTACTAGGGGTCACGATTTCAAGGTGAGAGGGGAAAAGTTTAAGGGAGATATGCGTGATAAGTTCTTTACGCAGAGGGTGGTGGGTGCCTGGAACGAGTTGCCAGCGGAGGTGGTAGAGGCAGGCACGATAGCATCATTTAAGATGTATCTGGACAGATACATGAATGGGCAGGGAGCAGAGGGATACAGATCCTTGGAAAATAGGCGACAGGTTTAGATAGAGGATCTGGATCGGCACAGGCTTGGAGGGCCAAAGGGCCTGTTCCTGTGCTGTAATCTTCCTTGTTCTTTAATCAACCTGTTCAGAGTTGCTATTCTCTGGAGCAGGTGGGACTTGAACCCAGGCCTCCCAGTGCAACTCTAATCTTGTATTCTAACCCTTTTGAAATGAATGCTAACATCACATTTGCCTTCCCAACTGCCAACAGAACTTGTACATTAATCTTAAGAGAATCCTGAAATAGGACTCCTAAGGACTCCTTCAGCTTTCTGAAGCCTCCCTGTTTAGAAAATAGTCTACAGCTCTATTCTTCCTACCAAAGTGCAAAATCTCACTTTCCCACATTATATTCCATCTGTCGCTTATTTGCTCACTGTCCTAGCCTGTCCAAGTCCTTCCTGCCCCTCTACTTATCTTTGTGTCATCTGAAAATTTAGCAACAATGCCCTTAGTTCCTTTATTCACATTGTTAATGTATAACGTGAATTGTCTTCTGCCTCCCTCCCTTCTTAAACAGGAGTGTTACATTAGCCATTTTCAGTCCTCTGGATTCCTCTCTGACTTTAGTGATTACTGGAACATCACTACCATTGCCTCCACAGTGTCCTCGGCTTATCACTCTCAGAACGCTGGGTGTAGTCTGGAAAAGCTCAGCAGGTCTAGCAGCATCTGTGATGAAAAAAAATCAGAGTTAACGTTTCAGGTCCGGTGACCCCTCCTCAGAGCACACTTTTGTTCCTGATTTAGAGCATCCGCAGTTCTTTCGGTTTTTATTTGCTGGGCGCAGTCTATCTGGCATGAATGATTTATCCATCTTGTGACCTTTCAACTTCCCCGGAACATTCTCCTTAGTGATGGCTACTACACTCACCTCTGCCCCTTGACTCTCTTTGAAGTTCTGGTTATGTTTCAGATCTCCAACCTGGACTGGTCTTTGTTTTATTCTGGTGCTGGCTAAGGAGATGGGAGGGTGGCACGTAGGACAGACTACAACTCCCAACATGCACGGGTTACCGGAAATGACGGAGGCTCAGCGCTGACCCGGCAGTTTCTAACCGTTTCCACAGCTCGAGCTGGTCCGTTTGAGTCAGAGTCACGGGCCGAGGGTGACTCGGGGAAGGTACTGTACGGTACCAAGCCTGGACGTTTACAGTGTCGTTTTTTACGGACCTTTTGTGCATATTCATTGAATATTTGCTAGGACGCGTGCTTGAGCCTGTAGTGATGGTAAAACAGACACAGCAAGAAGGAACGGTCCCTGGAAATAGGGAGAGAGAGACAGGGTCGTGGGATGACTTTTGTGGCATAGGGTTAGTGGAACCAGAAGGCAAAGGTTCATATCCCTCTGAGTTGCTTAGAGTACCGTTAGCCGTGTTGTGATTCCCGCAGACTCTTGTCAGTGGCTATGAAAGTAACTACAAATTGGGTTATTTCTGAAGAAGGGTCTAGGCCCGAAACGTCAACCTTCCTGCTCCTCTGATGCTGCTTGGCCTGCTGTGTTCATCCAGCTCTACACCTTGTTATCTCAGATTCTCCAGCATCTGCAGTTCCTGCTATTTCTGGGTCATTTCTGTCAGGCGCTGCAGAGTGCTGAAGGTTTGCGTTTAGCGAGTTGTGGGTGCTAAATTCTGCAAGTGTGATATGACAGACTGAGAGTTGTGTGGTATCCCATTGGATTGCTGGCAACCTTGAATTCCAGCAGCCTGTTAATGGTATTTGTGCTGTTGCAGACACTTGATGATACACTTGCGCTGTGTATCAAGATGCAAGTGGTGCTGTTTGTTAAATATGATAACCCTTTAAAATGCTCAATTACAGATAAAGAATTCAGATCCAGACCACAGGGAAATTATTGATATAGTGCCATCAGTACTCAGGCTTGCATGATATCTTCATCATTTCATCAAGGATCTGGATAGGTCTGTGGTAACAAAATCTATTTGGTAAACCTGGCAGTAATGATACCCTGCTGTGGGTGCTTGTGCATACCAGTTAGGGAAGGGTAGCATGTATTGAAAATCATGAATCTGGTGCCTGAACAGGTTGCTGGTGCATTGCATTACTTTTCTCTTCAAATTGTTTGGTCCAGAAAGTTACTAAATGTTCTCTTTAGAAACTACAGAAATTTTAATTTTCAAACTTCATCACCTTGAAGATATCAAGATGAACCAGAATGTCAACTGTACTAAATACAGTGGCTACGAGAAGAGGCTTGGAATACTGCGGCAAGTAACTCTTCAGCTAACTCCCCAGAGCTTGAGCACCAGCTACAAGGCACAAATTAGGAGGGTGATGGAATACTCCCCACTTGTCTGGTTGAGTTCAACTGCAAACAACACTGAAAAGTTTGACATCATGCAAGACAAAGCAGCCTGCTTGACTGGTACCATATCCACAAATATTCAATCCTTCCACAACCGATGCTCGGTCATAGCATAGTGTACTATCTATAAAATACACTGTAGAAATTCACCAAAGATCCTTTTACAGCATCTTCCAAACTCATGACTGTTTCTGTCGGGAAGGACAGGGGCAGCAGATACGTGGGACACCGCTACTGCAAGTTCCCTTCCAAGCCACTTGGCATCCTGACTTGGCAATATTCGTTCATTGTTGCTGATTCAAAATCCTGGAATTCCTTCCCTAAGGGCATTGGTATACCTACAGCACATGGATTGCAGAGGATCATGAACATAGCCAGCCATCACCTTCTCAAAGGCAACTACGAACGGGCAACAAATGCTGGCCAGCCAATGAAAGCCATGTCCCACAAATGAACTAAAAAAATGAATGCTACCAATTGTGTAGATTATGTCCCAAGTAGGCTTTGAGTTCTGTCAAATGAAAAAAAAAGTGCCACACTGTTTGCAGTCATATAGCAATTGGGTGAGATTTGATAATGTAAGATTTGTTGTGTTAATATCAGTTGGTTTTAATTAGTTTCTCATTGCATAGAAATTCCTAGAATAGTTCCAACATTTGTGCTGAAATATCATTTCTGATATACAATTTTTGTTTTGTTTCAACTTCTGATGGAAATTTTGATTCTGAAAAGTTTTGAGTTCTGTATTTCAAATGAATTGGACTGCACGCAGCACATAATAGTAATTTGATGGCAAACATCCAGATTTATACCAAGTTGATTTTCTTGTATACGTTTATTTGTATACTTTGCACTGAAAATAATTTTAAATACTTGTGAAAGTATTATGTAGATGAGTTTTCTCAATGGAACAGTCACGATCAAGAGTTGGGGGAATCTCACAAATGTTGAGAATGTTTTCAGTTAGAAACTGCAGAGTTCTGATGCAGGGCCTACAACAGAAGTAGGAGCTAAAATCAACATTAGTAGAACAATGAATAGCATATGTTGTTAAATAGATAGGCCTACGCTCATTTAATCTCTATTATTTTTGTGCCAACTTGCTGAAATTTCAAGCTGATAAATCCACTGAGGGCAAACAGGGACATTTGGTAGTGAAAACAACTAATGGGTTAAAAAGATTGAAGAATTGCCAATTTAATCATGTGGATTGAGAAGGAAATATATATTTATGATACACCTAGGGCAGTGAAGAAAGATTGGACTAAGGAGGAGAGAAAAAAGAGAAAGGGAAAAAAAACTAATTAAAATTTTGAGGGACAAGTTTTTAAAAAAAAAAGTGAGTCGTCATGCACATTTTGTTTGTGCCAGGAATGTTAGTAGGCACTCTAGCCATTTGGGAGTCTGCACGATGTCAAGGATTTGATCCTGAATATTGACGGATATATGACATTCAGGAAGAGGAGCTGGCTAGGTAAGGTAGAAGGGTAGCACAGTTAATCGAGGATTGAACTTGTGCAATAGTTAGAGATGACCTTGATTCAGGAGATCAGGATGTAGCATTTCTTTTGGAAGAGATTAGGAATAGCTGGAGAAAGAATAAAGAGTCGGAGTGGCCTACAGGCTCCGTAGCAGTAACCACACTGGAGGATCAAAAATAATTTTTGTTTATTCATTCACGGATGAGGGCATCATTGGCCAGACCAGCATTTATTGCCCATCCCTAATTGTCCAGAGGGCAGTTAAGATTCAACTGCATTATCAACCATAATTGAATGGCAGAGCAAACTCGATGGGCCGAATGGCCTAATTTCTGTTCCTATGTCTTTTTGCTAAGGCTCTGTAGTGACATGTCTGTCAGATCAAGTAAGAATGGCAGTTTCTGTCCCTGAAGGACATTAGAGATCCAAATGGCTCTTTTCTGACAATTGACAATGTATTCATTAGACTCTTAATTCCAGATATTCATTGAATTCAAATTCCACCATCTGCATGGATGGGATTTGAATTCAAGTCCTCAAAATGTCATCTGGGTCTTTGGATTAACAGTCTGCTAAGGCATTACCTTCCCCTGTTGGGTGCTTGTGATGAAATGACCACAATAATCATGGATGAGTTTAGTCTACATATAAGCAGGAAAAATCAACTGACAATAGTAGCCTGGATGAGAAGTAAGTAGAAAGCTTTTCAGAGAGTTTCTTAGAGCAGCATATTCTGGAACAGATGAAGCAGGTGGCTGTATTAGAATTGTTATTGTGTAATTTGGCAGGATGAATTCAAAACTTGAATTAAGCCACTCCTAGGCAGCAGCGATCACAACATGATTGAATTTTGCATCGAATTTGAAAGGCAGGAGACTGGGTCTGAGACTAATATTTTAAAATTAAATAAGGGTGACTATGGCATGAAATGAATTTACTTACTAGGCCAAGATGTAAATCAATAGAGGCATTTAAGGAGAGATTTCAGAATACTATTATTAAAAAAAAAAGGGGGAGCCTGCCATCCGTGGTTAACTAAAGATGTTAAGTAAAACATTAAACATTAGGAAAAAGTATACAATCTTGCAAAGAGGAGTGGCAGGTCAGATAATTAGTCAGAATATGAAGAGCAGTGACAATAATTAAAAGGTTAATCAGCAAATTAGTAAGAAAAGCTATAGGGAAGTGTTTTAAAAATGGAGTGTTTGTCCTCCAGAGAGTATAAATGATCACTTATTGGCAAACGAAATGAACAAATCTTTTGCTTGTCTTCAAGGGAACACAAAAATCAATCCAATCTAAGCAACTGATGGAGCTGTGGTCATCTCTAGGTCTTGAGGTGGCTAACAAGGTCAATGCTGTGGTCTTAATTTTCCAAAATACTATAGATACAGGGAAGTTTAAATTAGATTGAAAAGTAGCAAACAGAACACCTCTTCAAAAAAGAAGAGAAGCAGGAAGCTATAGGCCAATTAGCTTGATATCTGTTGTGAAGAAGGGAATTATATTTCTTCATCATAGAAGTTATAGCTTCACTGTTGGGAAAAACTAACGGAAATTGGGAGGAGTCAGTGTGGTTTTATCAAAAGGAAATCGTGTTTAACCAATGTATTAGGATTCTTTTGAAAGTGCAACAAGTGCTTTGGATAAAGGGGAGTCTGTAGATGTACTGTACTTGGATCTGGAGATGTTTGATAAGGTACCACGTCAAAGGTTGTTGCGAAAAGGAAAAGCTTATGGTGTAAGGGGTCACATTAGCATGGATAGAAGATTGGCCTGCATGTAGAAAACAGGCATGCAGAATTTTTGATGCGATCAAGTAACAGTTGACACGGAGAAAATCATTTTGAAAAATGTTTCTTCCACCACTTATAAAATAAAGAATTTGCATTTAAATAGCATCTTTAATTACATCAACGTGCCCCCATTTGCTTTATTGACAATAAAGTATAGTGATTGGTGCAATTAAAGGAAAGGAATAGCCAATTTTGTACCTATTCATTACTTGTATTCTATATTGCAGTTTTCTTAAAGAAAACTGCAGTATTTGCAAAGGTTATTTCAATAACTTTGCCATGTTCATCTTATGCCTTAGATTTGAATCATGTTCATGCTTTGGTTGATATTTGAAGTAATGCTCGTAGTGAATGGTCTACAAGGTGATGATGAATGGATTGATCCAACAGATATGCTGAATTATGATGCTGCAGCAGGTACAATGAGAAGGCCACAACAGGTAATTATCTTTGTAGTAAGTTTTATTCCAGCAGAATCTTGTCACCAGGTTTTAAACTTCAAATAATATGAAGTACGATGTTGTAGCAAAGCTTTCCAAAATATTGCCTCCATTATTTTTGCCTGAGTTGCAATGTTAGAAGTAATCTTGATGTTTTTACATTGATAATTCAGCACATCATCCAGCCAGCTTGGACCATATATGACGATAGCTGTTATAATTTTTAGATTGACATCCTTAGATCTGCAGAAGTGATGGACATCTCACCACATTCCGAGGTGACGTCATTTGTACTGTTTTTGATCACTAAATAAGCTAATTCTGGAAATGCTAAGTCAACCACAAGAGATGAACACCAAAGTTGTCCTGTTCCCAGTTATAATTCAGCTTTCTTTCTGTCCATTTCCACTCTCGCGTTCAGCATATGTGCTCAAACTCCAGTTGTAATCGAGCATTTTACGGCCAACGTACATTCGTTGATTTTAAATTTTGTTTTAGCCTGACTGCATGTAATAGAAGCTCTGAACAGTCAGTTTCAGATTAGATTAGCAGAAACATGAGTCAGCTGTATCAGGAAAAGACTGAGTACTTGATACAGAACAGATCTACCAAATGCAAATTTGTTTGAGTGCAACATCTTTATTGCTGCTCGACAAAACAGATCTGAATCCATCTAAATTAACAGCAATTTTGTGAAACAAGAATATTGGCAATGTCTGCCATTTCTTGTGTCATTTCACCATCAAATTTCTTATTCTAGGTTTACACCCACATTTCCCAAAAAATAATTTAAATAAACTGCTAGCAAGCATATGACAAAACAGAAATCTCAAACATGGCACAATCGATTAATTATCCCTTCTGCAGCAGTGGAATATTTAAACAGGTTAGTGTTACAATGACCCGAGTATTAGAATTATTTATTTTTAAATCCTTCACTATGGTGACCTTGAATACTTTCATAAAACTGTCTGAGATATAGAAAACTTGTATATTCTGATACCAGCAACTACCTAATATTCAGTTTTCAAGCCAGGTTTAAGTTCAAAATTACCATTATTTAGAAGGTGACATTAGTCATTTCAACTATGTTAAATATCTTGTGATTGAACAAAGTCTCACTCTTGTGTATGGGATGTGTTGGTACCAGTATTGCACTACACACAAAATATTGCAATAAACCTAACACAAAGGCAGGGTAAAAGTATTCTAATGGACATTGCACGCACCTATAAAGATCAGGGACTTTATCTCATTTTTCAAATAAGTTAATGTGATAATTTTGCATTTACCCAAAAAGTTCCACTTTGGAATAGGCAGGAAAACTTTTATATTTGATGAAATATCAGTATTTTTATTATGTATGTACTAAAATTGACACGACTGTGAAATAGATCACGACTATTGTGGTCATCCCTTGAGAATTGATGAAAGCTGTGAATCATGCTCATTCTAGACAACCAAGTGCTTCTTGCACCATTATTGTTCAGTCTTAAATGGCTACAATGAGAAAACTACAGAAGTCTAAATCTAGAACGATCCCCATTTCATCAGTTTGAACGGGAATAGAGGTTGCTGTTGGTGTTTTGGTTGGGGAGATTGTAATCAACTTCAGAGTTTTGGTAAATGTACTCCTGAAACACCTCAGAAGTCCTAGAAAATTTTGGCACTACATACGAGACATCATATCTCACTCAATGTAATTTCCTGAGCTGATCTGCTGAATAAAAATCCCAAGTTGAAGTTGGTGCAAATTTCCAATAAACTCTGGCATAATCCATGTCTTTGATTTTAGTTCAGAGTCAATTTGGAGCCATATAGCTTTCAACTAGAAAATAAACAGGCCTTGCTATCTAGCCTATAGACACCAATCACATGTCACAAACTGCTGTCATTAACTTGGACACTAGCTCAGATTTTTATTGATGCAGGGCATTAAGAGTGTGGCCTGCTAGACAGACATTTTCCCTCACCAGTCAGTTGCGAACTGATAACAGTACAGTGAGGTCAACTGCGTAGTTGGAATTTTAAATGGTGGAACGAATAGTTTATCCCTTTCATCAATGCAATTTAAGGATTAAGGAAGAAACTGAAACAACAAAATAAGGGTGAAGTGGATAAAATTAGGTATGTCAAGAAATAAATGAGTGAAAGAAAGAATGTCTCTCTTTCTCTCCCTTTTAAGCCAAAAGAGTGGCTTAGGAAGGAGAGAAAAAGAGACTAAAGATAATTTAAAAACCAGGACTTACTGTTTGTGCAAATGAGGCTGCATAGTTTCAGTACCTCCTCCTATGGGCTAGAGAGGTTGCATGACATATATCAGACATAAACATCTTGATAAAAAATATACCCACACTTAAAACAGTGTCCTTAACTTTCTCTGGAACATTATATTTTATAACTAATTTGCAATGAAGGAATTTCAATAAACTTATGGGGAAATTGAGGGCAAGTTGCTGTTTTCGTTAGGTTAATGAGGAGTCATGCAAATTATTCAAACAGTAGCTCTTCACTACAACTTGCTGGACAGTAAACACATTAATAATGACAACCATCATTAAACTCGTTATTTTGGCAGCAAAATCTGGGTCGATGTTACTTCTTTTATATGCCTCGTATTGATGGAATTTTATAATAAATGCAAGAGGTTGGCTTTACATTCTTTTACTTATAAATTTAGTAGTTACACTAACCTGGCTGATCTTTCTGTTACTCATTATATTCTAAAATATGTTTGTATGTGAAGTTAATTAAATGCTTTTCTGTTCATTTCATCGAAGGCCGGAACTGAGGAAGATGATATTGAAACACGGACTACTGGGGATTATACAGAAGTTAATCAGGGAAAAGATTGTTCTGATTGTGAGAGACAACTTGATAATGTACAAAAAAGGGTTAGTGATTATTTTTTCTAGTTCATTTTAATTGCTTTTTGCGTATTTTTAGATTAAAGAACAAAAGGGAGGGAATGAAAAATATAGAACTGTGTGTGATTGTGTTGCAGGATTTCACAAACTGTAATGTGTGTGAGGTGAAACTTACCGCTTTGGCCATCAAAGCACTATTTGAATCAGTGTGACATCAGGGAACTGTTCAAATTAAAGTCAGTGGAGTTTGTGAGGGAGAACTCCAGTGGCTGGAGTCATAGATATAATCGGAGAATCTCTCAAGTGTGCAGAAGACTCTGAAAGTTTGCAGAGGGATATCGATAGTTTAAGTGAGTGTGCGAAGGTCAGGCAGATGCAATTTAATGTTGATTAATGTGAAGTCATCCATTTTGGTAGGGCTAACAGTAAAAGGGTACTTGAATGGTAAAAAAATTGCAGCATGCTGCTGTGCAGAGGGACCTGGGTGTCCTTCTGCATGAATTGCAGAAGGTTGGTTTGCAGGTGCAACAGGTAATTAAGAAGGCAAATGGAATTTTGTCTTTCATTGCTAGAGGGATTGAGTTTAAAAGCTAGTAGGTTATTTGCGGTTGTGTAGGGTGCTGGTGAGGCCACACCTGGAGTACTGCGTGTAGTTTTGGTCTCTTGAGAAAGGATGTATTGGCACTGGAGGGGGTGCAGAGGAGATTCAGTCGGTTGATTCCAGAGTTAAGGGGATTAGTTTATGAGGAGAGGCTGAGTAGACTGGGATTATATTCATCTGGAATTTAAAAAATATAGGGGAGATCTTATAGAAACATATAAAATTATGAAGGGAATAGATAAGATAGAAGCAGGGAGGTTGTTTCCACTGGCGAGTAAAACTAGAACAAATGGGCATAACCTCAAAATTAGGGGGACCAGATTTAGGACTGAATTGAGGAGGAACTCTTCACTCAAAGGGTTGTAAATCTGTGAAATTCCCTGCCCAGTGAAGTAGTTGAGACTTCCTCATTGAAAGTATTTGAAGCTAAGATAAATAGTTTTTGAACAGTAAAGGAATTAAGGGTTTTGGTGAGAAGGTGCATAAGTGGAACTGAGGCCATGAAAAGATCAGCCATGATCTTATTGAATGGCAGAGCAGGCTTGAAGGGCCAGATGGTGGTCTCCTGCTCCTGGTTCTTATGTTCCTACAGAGTGGAAGCAGGCCATTCGGCCCATCGAGTCCATGCTGACCCTCCCAACAGCATCCCACCCCAACCCAGCCCCTACTCAATCTCTGCATTTTCCACCCTAGACATTATGGGCAATTTAACATAGCCAGTCCAACTAACCAGTACATCTTTGGACTGTGGGAGGAAACCTCAGCACCCAGACTAAACCCACACAGACACTGGGAGAATGTGCAAACTCCACATAGACAGTCTCGAAGGGTGGAGTTGAACTCATGTCCCTGGCGCTGTTAGGCTAACCACTGAGCCGCCCCAAAGGAAGGTAGTTGTAATGTTGGAATGTCAATCATCCCTGCCCTAGGAAATGGCTGAAAGTGTGTCTCAATACTTTTAACTGTGAGGGGGAAACACTGACTTATTTAGAATTATTATAAACTAAGCTAATCTAATCTTCTGACATACCTCTGGAACATGAACCTGGGTCATCTGGTATGGTCACTGCCGCTGCGACAGAAGAGCCTGTGTTTCTCGGATATTATCTAATCATCCGGCTGAGGGATATTATTATGCACTTCTTGAGCAGTTGGGACCTGAACCCTGGTCTCCTGGCTCAGAGGTGGGGACACTATCAAATAACCACAAGAGCTTTGTTGTTCCTCAGTTTGGCCCAGGATGCTACTGTATCTTCAGCTGCTACATCAGTTACCTTCCCTCTAATATATAGTTGAAGATGGAGCTGTTTTCTGATTATTACACAATGCTCAACTCCATTCACAATTCCTTTATGCAACCTGATCTGGACATCATCCTGTCTTAGGCTAATAATTAGCAAGTAACACGCAACAATCCGTTCCAACAAGAAAAGAATCTAATAATTTTTCAATGGCAGGTCATCGCTGAGAATCCCCACAAACAACTACCTGGGGTCACCATTGACAGAAACTCAATTGAACCAACTGCACAAATTCCAAATTAGAGCCAAGACAGAAGCTGGATATTCTACCTCCAAACTACTCAAAGTCCCTCAACCATCTAAAAGGCACAATCAGAAGTCTTTTGAGCACTCTTGACTTTTCTGAATTGATGAAACTAAACCAATTCACGAAACACAACATCATTTAAGCCAATACAAATTACATGATCGGCAGGCCATATGTCTTCTGAAACACTGGATCCATCCAGAACCAGGATAGTACGGTTACAGTGTGTACAAGGGACACGATCGCAGGATTGTTAAGTTGTGACAATTCACCAAGACTACTTTGACAGAGCCACCGAAATATGTGATCACCCAAATATAAGGAAAAAGACAGCAAATGAATATGAATACCACCCAAGTCTCTCACTTTGCTAGGTGAGAAGTCAGAACCAGTAATTTTTTTCAAACTGTTTTGTGAGATCACCTTCACCATATGAACTGCAGTAATTCACAAAGTTGGCTCACAACCTTTTTGAGGTAGACTAATGATAGAAAATAAGCTCTTATCTTGCCCAAATTTGAATGTAAAAGAAATGAAGATGTTGGAGCTGATTGAGGAATGGACCAGGGTGTCATGGAGGGAAAAACCCCTTCGGAACCCTGACTGGAGCGCAAAATATATTTAGTGATAACAACATGCTGGAGGTTGCAGAAATGGCAGGGGGTGGGGGTGTGACCCTTTTGAATGCAAAGGCTGTTAGAGTGACACACAACCAATCACAGTTCTGGGAAGAGGCGAAGGGGTGAGAGCAGAAGTACAGGAAATGGGGTGGACATGGTTGTGGGCCTCTTGACCACAGCGAGGTTGAGGAAAAATTGTCATCTTTTATTGTCACTCTATTAAATATTACCTGTAAATTGGACAAAGGCCTGTGAATATAAGGCATGTAGAAAACTTCATTGTGTGATTCAAGGAGGATCTGTCAGTGCTGTATGTAAATACAGTTCATATGTATCATTTCTGAACAATATTAAAACTGCACAAGTAATGTGTGATTCTGCGCTTTCACTGAGTGCTGAAGGCTGTCTGATGCAGCCATTGCAGGCTGCATCACTATTTACAAGTATAAATTGCTATATCAACTTTGTCCATTTTACCAGGAAATTGAGCTGTGCAATTGTTGTCCCTGTCAGTAGATGGCAATGTACAACAAATTTCTGAAATGTCTTTGCTGATTCCATTTGAGCATCGATGTGGTCTCGGGAAAATTTCTTGTGAATTCTGTAAGGGGATTCTGGTATTTTTTTTCAACCATTATGGATTACCAGCAATAGAAGCTTCATAAATTGATTGTTGAAAATGTTGTGACAGCACCACAGTTAAATTTATTATCCTTTCTTGGTTGTCCTGAATTAGTTGGGATGAATTTCCTCCTTGATTGCCACTAGTCCATGTGGTGATGGTGCTCTTCTGAGGGTGTTAAGCAGGAAATTCCGGGATATTAGGAATATAGGAATGCAACTATGCCAAATCCCTTTGAGCCTATATCCACCATTTAATGATATCTTATCTGAATAATGTCCATCTTCTTATATCTGCCTTTTCCTCACATTCCTTAATGCCTTTGGTTAATTGCTCCTGGTAAAGGAACAACATCGCTATTGAGTCAGAATGGTGTGTTAGTTGGAGAACATTTTGGTGTGCCCATAACATTGCTACTTTGCTCCTTTGTGTTACAGAACCAGAGAAGCAAAATGAAAATTTTTCATGTCAGTAAAAGATATGTACAGACCTTAGCCTGTATTCTGTAATTCTACAGGGGGGAAAAAAAAATAAATTGTTATTAGTCTTCATGCACAAATAGGATATCTTCTACAGTCCTCTGCTGACAGTACAAATGCAAGAGTAGTGTAGTTTTACATAGAATTTATACACATTGATGGAATGAAGAAACCTACAACTGAAGTAAATTCATATCGTGAGAACATTTACAATGTCTTGCAAGTTGATATGTTTAATACTGGTGTAAAGTGTCCTTATTTTATCTCACCATAATAAGTTCAAGGTATGATGATTCATGCTGCCATTGGTAGCTCTCAGGATTGGTATTGTAGCATGTGAATTAATGTTGACCATTTTAATATTTTTACATAAGCCATGTCCTATAAACATGCTATGGATTATATTATAATTGAGCTGATTTTTCTTTCTTTTTAATAGTTTGAAGAATGTAGAAAGAAAACATCAGCTGAATCAACAGAAATTAGTTGCAATCCAGTTTTTAAGAGATACCTGAATAAACTGCTTTTGGAGACTGGAAAGTTAGGTTTGGTAAGTAGTCTAGAAACGTAATATTTGATTAGACTTTTGTTACTTTATCTCCATGTACATATAGGTCAACACTGAGCAAGTATAAATTTGTTGACATTCTCCATCCTGATGTCTGCTATTTTTCCTGGGATTTAGAGGTTTCAGTGTTGCAAATCCTAATCCAGAACTAGCAGCAAGGCAGCTACTTACTATTTTTAATCAAATGCTGTTGTTGATGCTATGAATCCATTTTTCTGCTGACCTGGGCTTTCTCCTTTTATTCCCCATCAGAATAAAAGCATATCATGCTTAGTTCTTCAGTCCATATCCAAATGCAGCAAGATTTATACAATATCCAGGCTTGGGCTGAAAAGTGGCAAGTAACATTTGCATTACACAAATACCAGGCAATGACCATCTCTAACAAGAGACAACTCACTGCCCCTTGGCATTCAATGCCATTGCCATTACTGAACCCTCACTATCAACATAATGGGGGTTGCTTTTGCCCAGAAACTCAACCGGATTCACTATATAAATACATGACTACAAGGTCCGGCCAAAGTCTAGGAATACTGCAGTAAATAACTCCCCACCTGCTTCCCCAAAACCTGTCCACCATCTACAAGGCACAAATCAGGAGTGTAATGAAATATACCCCAATTGACTAGGTGAGTGCAGCTGGATAAGAGAAGCTTAACATCATCCAGGACAAGGCAGCCTGCTTGAGTGACACCACTTCATTATTACCAACTCCCTTCACCACCGATGTTCAGTTGCAGCAGTCTGTACTATCTACAAGGTGTACTTCTTTTCCAAATATGTCAATGTTTGTATGTTGCCATTGGTCATTTCTAGGCTGCACTGTAGTATACCTATATCTTGTACTGCATATATTAAAAAAAAAATGCTTTCTGAAGTTTACAAGGTAATTCCCAGATCCTGGTGGTGATTGCGTGAGTACTATAGATTCCAGATTGCTCGAACCATGGAAATGTATATGTGAATCAACTGGAGTGGGATTAGTAATGTAAGTTATACAATATGTTGGCAGTTCTTGTTTTCATATAGCAACTCTTAGTGACCATGGAGAAATTTCATAAACCTTATTTAGAAATGTTCCCTGCGGTCACTTACGTCTATCTTGAGATAAATAAATGGAGTAAATAGATTATATGGCAGTCTATTATCTTGCTCCTTTTGTTCTTTAAACATTACAAGAACCAACAGTGTCAAAGATTTCCTAGCATGGGTGACCAATACAACAAGAATCCCAATTCGAAAATTTTCAGTACAGGTCCTTGGCTGATGGCTCTCCCAATGACCGCTGTTAATGTTGCCCTTGAAACCAATTGGGGGTATTCTTGTACGCACCATGAATTCCTGATAATTATGGCTCTAGATCGTTCTCAATACTACTTAGCTATTGTGAAGGCAAAGCTATTAAGATACCAAACTCTTTCAGCTTATGTAAAATCAGACATACAGTTACAGAGATTTGTATGCAGCTTCTATCTTGAATTATTGCTGCAATAAAGAACCTTATACCCTTTATTTTTACTCTTTGTTTCCTCCAGCCTGGTGATAATCATGAAGTTCATTATGATGCAGAAATTTTAGTTACAAAACAGGATGTAACTGAGATTAAGAAGTTTCTCAGTGATAAGGCATGGAAGGCCGGTGCTTTGGATGATGCACTTAGTAAAATTCTAATTAATTTTAAGTTTCATGATCACGAAAGATGGAAATGGAGATTTGAGGACACATTTCACGTGGATCCCTTCACAGCAATTACGGTAAGAGTGGCAGTTCCTGGACTTAATATTAAATGATTTTTGTTTATAATATGTGAATTTTAACAGTTCATGGCATTTAATGCTTTCTAGACATTAGTTGACTGTTGAAATAGGAAACTGGTTTAAATTGAGAAAACGTGTCCAGTACGGATGTGAGTATCAATTAGACTAGTAATCACTTCAACAGAAATAAATCGTGAATAATTTTGGTTCTGTCTTAAAGTTGGTCCGGATTTTCATATATATGTAAATCAAGATTAATTCATCTATGGTTCAAATGGCAACACTCTAACATCTGGATCAGAAGTTTTGCGTTCAAATCCTACTCTGGAGATTAAGGCACATAACTAGGCTGATGTTGCAATGCAGTACTGAGGGAGGGCTGCACTGTTGGAGATACTATCTTTTCAGGAGACATTAAACTGAGAGCCCAACTGTTTTCTTAGGTGGATATAAAGGATCATGGATCATGTGGCTTTCTTTTGGGGACATTCATTTGATGTCTCGGTGAAGGTGTAGTCCTTAACCAACGTTACTTAAATGGATTATCTAATAATTTATTACGTCTGCATAATAGTTTCATCTCTTGTTTCTTTGTCTCTAAACAATATATCTCAAATACTAGGGCTGAAGGAAGAATTCATTAGAAAAATGTAAGAACTAGGAGCAAAAGTAGGCAGTTCAGCCCCTCAAGCCTGCTCCACCATTTAATATAATCATGGCTGATCTCATCTCAGCCTTGACTCTACTTTCCTGCCTGCTCCCAATAACCCTTTAATTCATTATAAGTTAAAAATATATCTCCTCATAAATTTGTTCAGTGTCTTGGCGTACACCGTACTCTGGGGTATGAATTTCAGATTTGTGACCGTCTGAGGGAATTAATTACTGCTCATCCCTGTGTTAATTCTGCCATCCTTTAGCCTGAAACAATGATTTCTCATTCTAGATTGCCCCACAAGGGGAAACATCAAATCTGCATCTACTTTGTCAATCCCAATTAGCATCTTATACTTCAGTCAGATCTCCTCTCATCCTTCTAAACTCTAGCGAGTATAGGCCTAAACTGCTAAATCTCTCCCCTCAAGATGAACCTTTTGTTTCTGGAATTAATCTAGTGAACCTTCTCTGAACTGCCTCCAATGGCAACTACATCCCTCATCACGGGACCAAAATTATTTGCAATACTCCAGGTGCGATCTCACTAATGTCTTGTATAGTTTCAGCAGCAATTCCCTCCTTCATTTTTTTAGCAATAAATGCCAAAAATCCATTTGTCCTTTTTTTAAAGCTGTTCTATCTGCATACTAGCCATCTGTGATTCGTGCATGAGAAAGCATTTTGAAATTTCTCTCCATTTTTTGACAAAGATATGAACTATACTCTGAATGGTTTTTCAATGATCCTTAATGATGAGAAATAGGACAACACAACATTTTATTTTAGAATGTTGTGAGATCTTCTATTTAGAATGTTATTGATTGTTTGAGAACTGAGACTGTCTCAGTGGCTCTGGTGGCTTTCATCACGGTTGTAAAAATGAACAGGATTTTCAGAGCAGGTTGTTGGATATGGATTGGCTTGGAGCTTCCTCAGTGAGTTGGAATCATTTAATGAAAAAACGTTTATTTATTCTACTCTGTAATTACAAAGCATCAAAAAGGCAAGGAGAAGGCTCCAAGAAGAGCAGTGTAATTGTAACAAAGTTAGTTAATTTGGCATGGCAAAGTTCAGTGCGCGACTGAGTACCTTTTCTATTATTGCTGTTTTTAAGAGCTTGGTATGTGTAATTTGGCTGTCATACTTCATACAATAGTGACCACTCTTCAGAAGTATTTAATCAACTATGAAGTGCCTTGGTGTATCCTGAGGAAGGCAGTATATAAAATCAACATTTCTTGGTTTAATGTCTCACCTGAAAGACAGAGTCCCTGATTATACAACAATTAGCACTGAAGTGTGAGACAACATTGTGTACTTGAGGCCTGCAGATGGCCTTGTACCTATGATCCGACTCTTGTAGGCATATTAAAAGTGAACTAAGCTGAGCGATATGCACACGTGCGAAATAACAGAATCTAATGTATAATTGCAGCAGCAAAGGGCCCGATTAGTTGTAATATTTCATTCAAATCCTTGCACAATGAAGGTAACTAGTTTATTTACTGCTGTATTTCAGAACTTGCTTGTGTTTTCATTTCACTCTGGTTTCCATGCTTTTGTACTTCACTCGCTGCCTCCAAACTGAAGACTAGGAAGCAGTCCCATACTAACAATTGTTTAAATAGATTAAAAGTTACAGTGCATATTTGAATATTTTGTACATTAGGGCTACAGATTTTGATTGCAAGTAGTATGGTATCTCTTTGACTTACCTTTCTCTTTTTTTTCCAGTTGTTGGCCATGCTAATGCTTATTGTTATCATATTTCACATCGTATGGACTGTTGCCCCACCATTTACACGACCTTATCGCTTCTTCTTATTGTGCTTTCTAATTAGTTTTGTTTGGAACTGGGTGTTTTTATACAAGGTACAGTAGTCAATAAACTAGTTCAACTGACTCGTGCGTCTTTTCTGGATCTTTGGTCCTGTCAAATAACTGGACATTGAATAACAATTTTAAATGCGCTGTTTTCTTCTTTGCGCTGGTATAATTGATCAATACTAGAAGACACTTAGATAAATATGAAAACATAGTATTCAGTTAAAACTGTGCCTTTGACCTATCAGTTCACCGGGTTAATGCCTCAGTTTTGACTCCAATATTACTTTGTGAGCTCTTGGTTTGTTTTAGTATGTTGGACATTATTACCTGCAACCTCTTTTCTTTTTAATGCTCTGACCACTGACCGAGAAGATAACCTGCTCCCAAGTTATCTATTTTGATCTGAATCTGGTCACAGAGTGCAGAGACTTTAATGTACAGCTATTTAATTACTAATCCAAATTTATTTCGCACAGGCAAGATTGTTGTTTCATTTGAAATCATTGATAGGCATCAAAAAGTTACCTATTTTAATGAGTATGGAGTAATAATTTATTTCCTTGTCTTAGATCCTTCCAAGAATAGAAAGCCATTCTATAATAGACAACAAGGTGCAGGGCTGGATGAACACGGCCGGCCAAGCAGCATCATAGGAGCAGAGAGGCTGACTTTTTGGGCCTAGACCCTTCATCAGAAGGCCTGCTGTGTTCATCCAGCCCTGCACCTTGTTGTCTCGGATTCACCAGCATCTGCAGTTCCTACTATCTCTCTCAGCCATTCTATAATACCTAGTTTCACTCTGTCATTCATCCTTGGGGCCTACATTGATATGCCTAGATTAGTTGAAGTTTCTTTTTGCTGGCTACGGTAATCTTATGTGAATTTCACAGTTTAAACCCAATATGTCCATGCTTTTGATTTGCCATTGAATTGGTATTTTCAAAAGGCTGGATTAATAGAAAGGTCTATGGTGTACGCCAGAGTTTTGTTTTTGTGGATGAGATTATTGTTATGACATGTTTTTGGATAGAATAGAAAGCACCTTATATCACCCATGACTGTGGTGCACCTGATAATGGGAAATCTCAATTTCTGTTCAGTGAAAAAAAGCAGTCCTCTTACCAACCTCCTTTAGAAACAGTAAATAAACAGATGTGGTTTCTGGTTTTGGTTTTAATATCCTGTACCAATGCTAGATATTATCCATATGGGCAAACAATTACTTTAACAACCAACATATGAAACAATCTTGTCATTTGTCAGTATTTCTATTCTTTTGCCATTAGGCTATACGTTTTACACAGCAGACAGTTGTATGTATTCCTTAGAATTATTCAACGACAGGCTATAGCACACTTCTAAATAGCAAATTATTGGCTTGCCTTAACTACAGAGTTTCAGGGCTTTCAAAAATACACTGCAGATTGTGCAATTTACAACTTTTTTTTGTGATGCAAATCTTGAATCTGTAAGATGTAATGTTTCTTTACAGACAGCTTTTGCTAAGCGACAGGCTAACTTTGCCAAGTTACAACTTGATAAACCCATGTGTACAGGGGTACAGAACATGGATTGGAAAGGTAGCCTACTTGGTGAGTAGGTTTTGTTGAGAAAGCTAATGTTTACATTAATCAAAGGTTCATTATTGGCCCTGTAAAATACAAACTTTTTAGCAGTCATAAAATAGCAAGTATTATTTATCAAACAGATGTAGCTTTAACTCTGTGAAAGTTATTTGTTTTCATTATATTGTATCACGCTGTAAAATGTTAAAATTGTCAGTAATGGTGCTTGTTTGATTATAGTTTGTATTTGTGGCTGTCTGATTTACTGTTTAAAGTTTTGTTGAGGAATAATTTGATCACGCACGTGGAACTAATTCAGCTGAGATAGAGATACATTTGGTACTGACACAGTCAAGCCAGGATTGGAGCCACACCAGTTTAAATAAAAGAGTTTGTCTTTCATGGCATTTGAGACCGTGAATAGGTTCCAGGATGAGTGAATTCTATAAAAGAAATTGATGCTGAGCTAACTGAGATCATTGGGCTATGGCAGGAAACCACGACACCTGGTGGAAACTCACGCAGACACCAGGAGGACATGCAAACTCCATACACACAGTCACCCAGAGGCTGGAATCAAACCTGCTTCCCTGGCACTGAGGCAGCAGTGCTAAGCACAGAGCTGCCATGCCACCCCATTTCTGGCAAGGGCCAAATCTTTTACCTATCCCTAATCGTTTTTTGAACTGAATGACTAGGCCATTTCAGAGGACACTCGGCCATATTGTGTGGGCCTAAATTCTCACACAGGCCAGACCAGGTGTAAATGGTAGAGTTGCTTCCCTAAAGGACATTAATAGTCAACTGCCTGCATTTTTACAACAGTCGATGAAAGTTTCATGGTCATCACTCTGAGGCTAGTTTTTAATTTGAATAATATTAATTGAACTTAAATTCCATCAATTGACATAGTAGGATTTGAACTCGTGACTCCAGAGTGAGAGCCTGGCCCTCTGGATTAGTAATTCAGTGGTATTACTAATATGCCACCATTTTGGGAAAATTAATTAAATTTTATGCATAAATAGTTTTATTTATAACTAAGATTGAAGAATAAGCTTTTTTGATTTGCAAGCCCTTAACAGTCACATTCTTCTCTAACAGTGTGGTTCAGGCAAACTTGGACATTACAGAATGACCCTTGTGAAATGTACTATGAGGCTCTGTTAGTGGATCCAATTTTGGAGGTTCCTCCAACCAAGGTAAAAACAAATAATTTTGGATCAGAAATGTAATAATTTTACTTGAAATGCCCAATAATGTGTTTTGCTTTCTTTTTAAGGCTTTCATGCTTACTGTAACAACACTGATTACTGAACCACTGAAACATATTGGGGAGCCTATCAGTCACTTTTTCCGCGATCTCCTTAAAGACCTTCCATGGATCTGGCAGTTTCCTGTGACCCTGACAGTTATATTAGCTGTTGTTGTAAGTCTATGTTCTGATTACCAAAGTGAATAGTGTTTGTTTAAAATTATATTTTATGCAGCCAACACTCGCATTAGTAGTATCTATCTTATAAATTAATGTTCTCCTGGTGTTCCCAAACGCAATCACAGGAATGCAGATCATTGTATGTTTCTGGCCACGGTACCACCACTTTTTTTTCCATTTATATTTGATTAATCTATTGTGAAAGTTTTATTTTCTATACAGGCCTGAAGTTAATGAATTAATACAGCATACTTTGCAAGTTATTTTTAAGTGACATTATTCCTGAAACACTCAGATTTTTTCTTTATCTTGGGGATAGGATTTGCATAAGTTACTATTCAGTGAATCTCAGATATTACCATAATCACCATTTTTTTTGCTTTTCTCTTTTGCAGGCATTCTGCTATTCCTGTGGCCATGCAGTTGTTCGATATAGTTTATCTAGATCACTTCCACATGTCGGTCCTCAAGCTCCGATTGCACATCACAATGTGCCATATAGTGTACAAGGCTCAGTTGATAATACCTTATACCAAAGCGGAGGATATGTGGATTACCAAGCTGGAGGAGATGCTAACTATTTTCCTCACATCAGAAGAGACCCCAATCATGATGCAGCATTTGGAGGTCCCTCTAGGCGAAGGGATCTAAATGACCAGGGTGTAGAAGATTTAAAGAATTGGGAAAGAGCTGAGATGGTAAATAATGGGCAAGGTGACAACCATCTTCGCAGAAGGAAAGTACCATACGAGAAAGATTATCATTGTGCTAGATATTCTTCTGACCAGCTGGTAACAAATAAGGAGGTAATTAAAAATAGTGTACCGCAACCATCAGAGGAAAATCCTGACATAGAAGATGTTGATATTCACCAAGCTCAAGAGATTGTTGAACAATGGGAAAGAAATAATTTCCAAAATAAGAAGGCAACTGAGTTACCTGTCAGTAAATTTGATAATCAGTTACACAAAGTGAGACGAGCAGGTGAGGATATGCAGAGTAATGTTCCTGAAGAATTTGGTACAAAAGACAGGCCACTTGATGCAGTTTCACAGCTTCCATCAGGAATGAATGTCACGGAGATGAGTGTTACTGAGAAAAAGCAAATACAGGAAAAGGAACTTGAAAATGAGTTACCCATCATAGAAAATGTGGGAGTGCAAGTAAGTCTTCCAAGAAATTTAGATGCATTTATGTCAGAAATTAAGCCATATTTTATTAACACTTAAATGTACAATAACAATAAATTGGTTTGTAGGATTTCATGTTTTTAAATATAATTGTACAATACAACAAAAATCAAATGTTTCATATTGGTCTGTTGGCTACCGGTTTTTGGCAACATTTTTATAAGCCATTGAGCTATGTGGGAAAACCGGGCTTTAGGTATTTTTAAATATTCCTCTTAGAAAAAGAGGAAGTGTGGCAAGGATAGGAGAAGAACTGGTGTTTATATGAATAGGAGGAACAATTTGCTGTAAGCTATTTAGATGCTTTTAGAGCAGCGGAAATGACCTTGTAACCATATTCCAGCTGGGGGAAGTGCGTAAATGGAATGGGTAGTAGATGATTTATTTATCTTTATTTATTTATTTGTCTGTTTGTTTGTTTATTTATCGTCATGTATATTTTGTTACAAAATACAGTGAAAAGTATTGTACAGCGCTGCCACTCTCTGGCAACGTCAGAAGTATTTTTATCAACCTGTTCAGAGTTGCTATCACATACCTCTGGAGTACATGGGACTTGGACTTAACCTCGAGCCCCCCCTGTCCGGGGATAGGGACAGTACCACCGCACCACTCCTCAGCTCTGTTCTACAGTGTCGATCCTTCACTCTGAGGCTGTGCACTTGGGTCCTAGTCTCTCCTATTAGTGGAAACATCTTCTCCATATCCACTCTATCCGGGCCCCTCAGTACTCTAAGTTTCAATGAGATCCCCCATTCATCCTTCTAAACTCCATTGAGTACCCAGAATCCACAACCACTTTTCATATGACAAGCCCTTCCTTCCCAGGATCGTTCTTGTATGCCTCCTATGGACCCCCTCCAAAGCCAGCATATTTTTCCGTAGAAACTGCTCACAATATTCCAAATGCAGTCTAACAAGGGCCTTTTACAGCCTCAGCAGTACACCTCTGCTGTTGTATTCTAGCCTCTCTTGAAATGAATACTAACACTGCATTTGCCTTCCTAACTGTCAACGGAACTTGCATGTTAATCTTAAGAGAATCCTGAAATACGGCATCCAAGTTCCTTTGTGCTTCAGATTTCTCCATTCTTCCTACCAAAGTGCAAAACCTCACTTTCCCACATTGTATTCCATCTGTCACTTCTTTGCCTACCCTCCTATCTACCAAGTCCTTCTGCAGCCTCTCTGCTTTCTAAACATTACCTGTTCCTCCAACTATCTTTGTGTCATCTTAAAACTTAGTAACAATGCCCTCAGTTCCCTTATTCAGATCATTAATGTATAACATGAATTGTCTTCTGCTTCCCTCCCTTCTTAAACAGGGGTGTTACATTAGCCATTCTTCAGTCCTCTAGGACCCTCCCTGATTCCAGTGATGCCTGAAAGATCACCACCAATCTCCTTCTGCTGTCACCCTCAGAACTCTGGCTTGTAGTTATTTGGTTTGGATGGTTTATCCACTTTCAGACACCTCAGCTTCCTCAGCATCTTCTCCTTAGTGATAGCTGCTATGCTCACCTCTGCCCCCATCCCCGACTCTCTCGAAGTTCTGGCTGTGTTTCAGATCTCCAGCCTTTGCATTTCTTTGTTTTGGGAGGTGTACATTTGGAGATTAATTGTTTTGTATTGTATCATAAATCAGGGAGGTATAAGAGGTAGCCACCAAACAGGGCAGTGACACTCAGTTCGGAAGACTGAAGACAAATAAATTATGCTAGGGGATGGAGGTTGTTACAAATTTGCAGCTAAATTCAGTGATGTTAGTTGCTTGCTTAAATTATCGTGGTGCATGTTTAAGTGGACTTTTAATCCCCATATCTACTTGCCTGGAAACGGGATCCAAGAATGTAACAGTCAAACTCCCTTATGTTTTGCACTAGATCTGTAGAACAGATTTAGCACTAACTATGATCTATTTTGATCGATAATACTTAATAGAACAGGGTATGTTGAGAGACACTTAATCAGGGAAGCAAATACCAATCACTCTGGGCTCTCAACATAAAAGAATAAATTTAGAATGGAATAACGTAGAATCCCTACAGTGGCCATTCCGCCCAACAAGTCCACATCATTATTGTCGAAATTATTCCTTATCAGGGCAAAGGTCCTCCTTTTGCAGCAGGAAGGCTGATGTTTTTAGTATCTGTCGTAACTTCTTTTAAAGTCTTTGTTTGACTGACAGATCAAAACAATTGAAATGACTAAATAATAACATGTATATAGCAGTGGCCATGCTGATCTGTCTGATTCCTAAATGATGCAAAGGTTTGGTAGTAAAGAGTGGGAAATTGTTTCTGTCGGCTAAGAGATCCGTAACCATAGAACATACACTTAAAGTAATTGGCAAAAGAACCGGAGGTTAGTTGAGAATTTTATTTTGCATGATGAATTATTATGATATGGCATGCATTAACAGAAAGGGCAACGAAAGATTCATTTCAAGTGGAATTGAATAAATTCTGAAAACAGTGGAAAATTACAGGGCTATAGGGAAGGCATGGGGGAGAGGTTGGTCAACTCTTTCAAAGCAAGTGATTAGGAGGGCAGTTGGGACATTGTCATTGATTGCAAGGGAAATGGAACGTGAGCATATGGGAATTTTACTGCAGCTGTACAGGGCATTGGTTTGACCAATCTAAGGTGCTATGCATAGATTTGTTCTCATTTGATAATGGATGTAATTGTTTTAGAAATGGATCAGAGAAGGTTTTCTCAACTCATTTCTGGGATGATGGGCTTATCTCTGGAGGAAAGGTTGAACAGTTTAGACCTGTATCCATTGGAGTTTAGAAGAATGAGAGGTGATCTTATTGGAAGATCTTCAAGAGACTAGATAAAGTGGATCCTGGCAGCATGTTCCATCGTACAGGGGAGACGAAAACTAAGGGGCATAGCTTTAAAATAAGAGGTCAACTCTTTTAAGACACATGATTTTTTTTTTCCTCTGGGGTCATTAGAGTGTGACAGTGATGAAGACTTCATCTTTAAATTTTATCAAGGCAGTATTACATAGATTTTTGATAGACATGGGAGTCAAAGATTATAGAATATAGACTGAAAGTGGAGCTGAGACCATAGCCTAATTTATTATTTTTTTTCTTTATTTATTCACGGGATGAGGGGTGTTGCTGGCTAGGCCAGAGGACAGTTCAGAATTAACCACATTGTTGTGGGTCTTGAGTCACATGTAGGCCAGACCAGGTAAAGACAGAAGTTTCCTTCCCTAAAGGACATTAGCAAACCAGATGGGTTTTTCTAACGATCGACAATGGATTCACGGTCATTGTTAGATCTTAATTCCAGATATTTATTGAATTCAAATTCTACCATCTGCCATGGCAGGATTGCCCGGGTACCCAGAATGTTATCTCTGGATTAACAGTCCAGTGATAATACCACTAGGCCATCGCCTCCCCTAGATTGCCCATGATCTTCTTAAATGTTAGAACAGGCTTAAACTGTCAAATATTCTTCTCCTGCCCCTGCTCCTAGGTCCTCTGTTCCTTTGGTACTGAAAGCTTTTATGATAAAGTGTTGAATTATTGTATTTATAAGAAATAGATACGTTAGTACAGAACTTGAATATCACTGAAGAGAGAAGCTTGCTGAATCTTTCCATTTTGTACTCATCAGGACAAATACAGGAAAGAAAAATTGTAATGATTTGTACTACAAGAGAAAAGGATGCTGATTTGTTCATATGTCAATTCTGGCTCTACGTTCATTTGGAATTTAGTGATCTTGCTGTTCTCTTGCTGCCAAAGCTTGTCGTTCTGTACTCGTTTGTCTCTTCCACAATATTCAAGAAGTAGGTGTGTCATACATTTAATAAACAAAAGCTGACAAATAAACAAGTAGATAAATGTTCATATAAGGAATATAACATATTAAGAGTACAAAATTAATTTATTCAGTTCATTTGCATCATCTTTTATATTAGGAGATTGGAAAGTTTAATAAGAATGTAAGTAAAATTAAAGGGTATTTCAAAGGAGAAAATTTGGTGAGTAAGTAGCTGATTTTAGTTTTTTAAATTCATTTTTGGGATATAGGCATTGCTGGCTGGCCAGCAATTATTGCTTGTCCCTAGTTGCCCTTGAGAAGGTGGTGGTGAGCTGCCTTCTTGAACCGCTGCAGTCCACCCACTGGGTTGACCCACAATGCCATTAGGCAGGGAATTCCAGGATTTGACCCAGCAACAGTGAAGGAATGGCGATATATTTCCAAATCAGGATGGTGAGTGGCTTGGAAGGGAACTTCAAGGCTGTGGTGTTCCCATATATCTGCTGCTCTTCTCCTTCTAGATGGAAGTGGTCATGGGTTTGGAATGTGCTGTCTGAGGATCTTTGGTGAATTTCTGTAGTGTGTCTTGTAGATTGTACACATTGCTGCTATTGAGCATCAGTGGTGGAGGGAGTGGATGCTTGTGGATTTTGTGCCAATCAAGCAGGCTGCTTTGTACTGGATGGTGTCCAGTTTCTTCAGTGTTATTGGGGCTGCACTCATCCAGTCAAGTGGGGAGTATTCCATCACACTCCTGACATGTGCCTTGTAGGTGGTGTACAGGCTTTGGAGAGTCAGGTGGTGAGTTACTCACCGCAGTATTTCGAGCTTCTGACCTGCTCTTGTAGCCACTGTGTTTATGTGGTGAGTCCAGTTGAGTTTCTGGTCAATGATAACTCCCAGGATGTTAATAGTGGGGGATTCAGTGATGGTAACGCCATTGAATGTCAAGGGGCCGTGGTCAGATTGCCTCTTGTTCGTAATGTCATAGCCTGGTACTTTTGTGGTGCAAATGTTACTTGCCACTTGTCAGCCCAAGCCTGAATATAGTCCAAATCTTGTTGCATTTGCACACTTCTTCGAGATCTGAGGAATCGCAGATGGTGCTGAGCATTGTGCAGTCATCAGCGAACATCCCCACTTCTGACCTTATGACGAAGGGAAGGTCATTAATGAAGGAGCTG